CCCCAAAACCCCAAAACCCCAAAACCCCGAGGGGAGATTCTAATATTGACTTTGACGATGACGTAAATAATTAAGTATTTTTTGAAATATTCAATTCTGCTCTTTTACCCATCATTCTGTTGTAATGATTTATTCGTCTCCTAAAGTGTTGGTGAATGTTCCGATCCTGGCGTCTGGATGGACGATTAATGTTGGCATGGCTTCTAGCAATACTTGATTCGAATCTCATTGCCGAATTCCCGTGGTGAGCTTCGCTCTTGTCTTCTTCCTGCTCGTGGCCTCTTCGAGGGGTCTTCAATTTTTCGACTGGAGTAGTAGTTTTTGGAGCAATACTTTTAGGCGATTTCTTGCACTTCATTTTCTTCGCACGTGAAACAATCGTTTTTACCAAATATCCGAAGCAAATGAGGCTTACAATTAGCGGCGATGCCATAAAAGCGTAGGTGTAATAATTAAATCAATTTGAAAATACTTCGTATTCATCGCTTACGACAAGAATGCAATAGGAACTAAAAATCTTCTTTGAATAAAAACAATTCCTTCTCAGTCCCACTCTCAGATTATCTCTCAAACATTTGCTTTACTAATCCTCCACATAATAATTAACTATCACACTTAAAAGCACCAACAGATCACTCCTTCCAAACACCCCAATTTCTCTCATCCAAAACCCCCCTATTTCCCTCTAAAACCCCTTTTCACTACTAAAATCAATAAAAAATCTGACCGTTCAATCCAACACTTATAAACCCCCGAGTCTTATTCTGTATTAATAATTACAAGGAAGTAATCACCCCACATGGGCCTAATAAGTCAGGACTTGGATTCTAAGGCACCCAATAGGATTAATGAGCCCACATATTTTTATATAGTTCTGAGATTAATAATAGCTCTCGTAAAATTTACTCCAATCACTTTTAGAATTTAGCCAAGTCAATGGAAATGTGAGGCAACAGAATAGAATCTGGTTTAGAATTTCGATAATGTTGTCCTGGGAGTTCTTGAAGGGTCTGACTGCCACTAAATACCCGGCGAAAGCCATGTTAAGGATCTGGAAGTAGCAGACCTTGTTAGCTGAGGATAAGTCTTTACCAAAAATAAGCAAGAGTCCAGAAAATAACCTCAATAATAGGAAGAAGCTTGAGTAAAGTTTAGCATATTTCTTCATTCTGATCCCGTTAAAGTACTCCTTCCATTTGGGATATTTGCCAGAGTTTTCGGGTGAAGAAGTCTTCATGTACACGAAAAAGTTCATGAAGATCAAAAGAATAATAACCAAGAAAATTATAATCGAAATCCCAAATGACACTTTGGTTACTACGTTTTTAAAATTTAGGGAATACATCTCTGAGAGGACTCAGAGACAGGCGAACATGGATGCCTGAATTAGTACTCGGATATATATGCCAAAAGTAAAGTAATCCGAGACCTTCTTGAGGAACTTTTTGCATCTATTATTTTTGGATCCTCAACATCATTTCCCAAAAATCCATATCCAAAAATGTACAATTCCAATGATAGCCAAAACAGCGATTAACGAAAGGAGGTTAATAATAGAGCTTCCTGACTTAATCCCCAGATCTGTCAAGTACTCGCTCGTCTGGGAAGAACTTATCCAGCCCGAAATATCCTTCACTAAGGGCAATTTCTGGACCCCAAGAACATCGAAGGAAAGCATCGAAAATCCCATCCCAGCTATTATGGTCGACACTTTTGCTGAGAAATAGTCTGGGATGAGTGGTAACAGAATTGCCAGCTGCAGGCTATTCATCGTGCTAAATATAGAGTTCACTGAAGACATAGAAAGCAGAGATGAAGCACTTGCGAAAACCACGCCTGATGCAGCAAGGGCAACCACTGCTGTGGTAACTCCAACAGCAACTTGAGCATTTTCTCAAGATTCATCTGAGTCGTCTCACTTTTCTACAGTAATCTCAAACCTCTTGTAATGGATTTCGCTGTCAAATCCTATCTGTAGAGAGAAGTAAAATTTTGATTCTTTATTCAGCTTCGGAGTCTTGTTCAAGTAGAGCTCTAGCTTCTCTTCATCAAGTTGCACCCACTTGGGAAGGTCATGAGAGTCTGTTGGCACCAGGCTAAAAGAAATAGCAGTGTTATTCACAGCTGGGGCTCAAGCCCAAGTGAAGTTTAGCTTTACTAAGGAGTTGCTTTGGACCGATTGTGCATAATCTTCGTCCCAAAGAGCCACGTAGTTAGTGAAGGCAGGACTGATTGATGAGGATAAATCTGTTGATGTTATATAAGTTGGAATAGTAGTTGAGACTGAAGCTGTATGGGTGCTTGAAGTCAAATTTGGATTTGAAGTGGTAGAAGTTACTTGGTAATTAGTGGTGATTTGGGTAAAGAGAGCAGCGTCTTCTTCAAATTTCGAGAGTTGATCAATTTTGGTTACTGGGGTTTTTGAGAAGAAAATTTTGTTGTCATCAGTAGTTCTTCCACAAGAATATATAAACTCTATTTCGTCAATTGTGGCCCTTCCAGTGCCATAAATTCTTGAATCAATCAAATTATATTCTTTGAGTATTTTTGAGTTAGTAGAGCCTATCAAAATAAGCCTGGAAGGAGATGGAAATGAAGAGCTATAAATTTGAACAGCAATGAAATCAGTGAACTCTTTTATTGAGTAAACAGATCCAGAGCTGCTATAATTAAAGATAAAACCAGGATTTTGAGGAGACCCATCAGTAGCATTCAGCTTATAAAATAGGAAATTGGAATAGTAGGTAATCATTGTAAATATTGATTTACTGTCTTGACTAACGATAGATTTTCCGTACCCATTGCTTCAATCTGAAGCAGGACAGGTTATACTTTTCTTCCAGACTAGGTTTGATGGGTCCGAAAAATTATAAGCAATGAAGTAGTGTTGATCAAGAGCGGTGTCATTTGAGGCAATGAATAGTACATCATTGTTAATGGGAACAAAATTAGTACGCTCTCTGATTCCGAAATTTACTCAGTTCAGAGAAGAAGTTGATATTTCTAATTTGCAGGTTTCTATAATTGTGTTATTATCCATGTTAAAATACAAGTCATTATAAATCTCTAAATTTGTGAATCCAATATAATAGCCAGAAGGACCGGATATCTCTCTTGTAATTGTAAGGTCACTAGTCCTAATTTCATAAATTTTATTACCAAAACTTGCAGGCATATAAATAAAATCACCATTTAAATCGATCACAATTCCACCTCCCAAGAATATAATATTGCCATACCCCATAGCTTTCTTCATTTGCAAGCTATAGTCTGTTTGATAGATAATTGCTGTTGATGGATTATTAGAGTAATCCCCAATAAAATATAGTAGTTCTGTTTTGGGATGCTCAAGAACCGCATAAAATGATGGATAACTTGCTCCAGAAATAGCGAATTCCCCTGAAATCGGTCCTTTCATAGCTTGGTTCTCATTTTGGCACACATTTCCTCTTCCTAGCGCTACTATAAGCGCCAAAATAACAATTACTTCCTTCATTATCGAGTATTTAATTTATTATTTATCAGAACTCTATCGGGTCTTATATTCCGGGGTTTTGGGGTTTTGGGGTTTTGGGG